TGTAATGGAAGCAAAATGTACATTGTAAGATGGGAAAGAGATAGGCGGAAAAGGTAAGTTAATCATGTATTAGATGAAAGGACGGTTATTGTCCTTATGTGAAAAGTTGTAATCGTATTGTTCAATGACAATTGAATATTGTCATCATTGGGATTATTATCGAACGATACATATTATTGTCATCACTGGGATTATTATCATGTCAACTCTTCTGGATCAACTCATCTTTTTTTTGAATGTAAATGTTAAATATTTTACACTGTTTCAGTGTATATTCAATGTATATTTATTTGATACGTAACATGTTCCCTGCAGTGACCATTAGAAGGTCAAATGTTAAGAATTTGGATGTACTTGACCTTTTATCTGGATATACTTGACCTTTTATTTGTATTGTGAATTGTCAGGTTCAACTATATAACAGTATGAATGGTAAAATTTTACTCAAAAGGTAAAATATTTACTTACATCATACATTTTTCAATTTTCCTTTTTCTTTTTTATTCATTTAATCTATTTTGAGGATGCAGAATATAATTCTTAACTTTAAATCATGGAACTTCACTTAATGTTTCACTCTTACTGACGAAAAAAGAAGGTAATGTTATTTGGAAAAGTTCGTTCTAAATATTTGTTTAAAGTTTGCTTTGTCAGTGTTTTTACTGTACTTTTCATAAATTATATCTTTATCATACGTTGTATGATAATGTACTGCCAATTAAGAAAACATTTGCAAATTGGTTTTCCTCTAATTAGAGATCGATTTATAGTTATTATTGTATTATACAAATCGATTCGTAATTGTTCTTTAGTTTGAAATAGTTTGCGAAGAGTTAGATTGTGATGTGGTTTTGAAATTGATATGAATAAATTGATAATCTAATATTCAACCTTGTCCATTTTCTCCAAATTTTCCGGATTCGGTTAGTTTTTTTCAAATCTATTTTTAGAATATAGCATTTACAGAATCGCGATCAGAATTGATATTTTGTTCTCGATGCTTAGCGGATATAATGGTGAAATGCGAATGAATTTTGCTAATAGATATAACAGCACTGAATCCGTCTCCTAAACTTCTAACTTGAACAAGGCTGAATTTTTAGGATTGATTTGAAAACTGTTTCATCTGATTTTCCAGTATTTAAATAGCCAAAGGAATCATATTTATCCCAACTTAGCAAAAAATATACCGGCAAGTTTTCTTTAAATTGTGCTTTTTTTGAATTTGATTCGCATTTATTGATAAATTGTACATCAATATCGCGTGAATCAAAAGGAAACTCGTCATGTGATTTTCGTTTCTTGGAGATATAGAAGGTTTGTTGACACTTTTGGAATTCAATTTTCCCATCGAACTCATAAGATCACGAATTTTTCAGAAAACAACTTTCGATGAAGCCAAATGTACATATTACTTTGAATATCCATTCTCGAAATGCACGAATGAAACTATGACTTTCCCTTGTAAAAAATACAGTTCTTGAGTAATTCATATTTTCAAGTTTCGTAACAAGCCGTAAAATTTTGCAGATGAAAGCTTTTTAAATCCCATTACATTTGCATAATTGTTTCCAATGCTTTGTTTTCTGATGAATAATTGACGAAAAATGCTGGAAAGTTTATCAGTAAATATATGGTTTGTTGTGGTAACTTTCAAATAACTCATATTTACAATGATGGTGAGAGTAAATATACGAAGTAGAGAGAGAAACAAAGAATAAAGAACAAGAACAAACCAATCCCGCGCTACCAACTTTCGAAACAAATTCGAAATTCTTCGCCAGCAAACAGGTGGTTAGTTTCACTTCATAAAACTACTCATAGCAATACAGCAGATAGAATAACTAAAAAAAAGCAAAAAATGACAGCAGATAATTTTGATTAGAATAACACCAAAAAGCATGACCTAAGTTCTTATGACACAAGGGGATATTTAAATGTAAGCCTGAAATTAAATTACTAAAAAAGATTCCACACAAAACATGTTACTGGCTTTATGTAAGATGGTCCTTAACATAAAATTCAATTCTTAATGGTTTGCAAGTTTTCAAAACCTGATTTTTCACTTAAAACATACACATAATTGAAATTAAAAACTACATTTTATGATGTGTTTCATTTACATAATAATTTCTTCTAAGACTTGACTTTTGCAAATTTTTGCTGAATCAATTTGAGAACAACCATACAGGTATGAGACTGAAACTCCAAATTTAACTGCAATACGGATCAGATGTTTGCGTTTCTACTTCCTCTTCCAATTCTCGCATTCCATTCTGCTGTTCCTCCACATCCAAAATTTCAGTCTGATTTCGTGCCAACAAAAGTTTCGATGTTAGCGCATCAATTGCTTCCCATAAGCCAATACCAGTCATTGCGTTACATTGATGAATTACCACCGTTCGTCCTATAATTTTTTTTAATGGAAAATAACTGGATATAAGAACTGCAGCATGTCATTATTAAATTACCCATCACTCAGTTTGCAATTTGTACCAACGTCTACTTCCCTTGTTCCCTGTTTAACTTTAATTTTCAATTCGAACAATGCCAACCACGGCAAAGACAACAAAACACCAGAAATGATCATATATGAAAATAATCCATTCATTTGATTAGAAAATAATCCATCCATTTTTGTTGGTCCACTTAATCTTTCATGCAGCCAACAGCTGCCATGGCATCTATTTTTGCTTAAAGAGTCGGGAATATGTTTTGCTTTATTTCACTCGAGATCAATTCTAATGCCGCTTCTGGATTTCTAGGTCATATTTCACAAGAAGTAATTATCTTCGTCATCTGCTTTTCCAACAGTCTATTATCAACAAGCTTACCAGCACCAAATCGGTTGATATTCATAACAAGTTGGTCGATAGCAGCCGAACTGACTATACAATGTTGATTGGCAGTTGTTGGTTGTCGCCTGTTCAAGATAACCAGGAAGCATGCATCCGCAAGTTCCCGCTCGGCAAATATTTTCGCTAATTCATTTTGGGCTTCCCCAAAGCGACTCGGACATGAACTGTCGATAACAAATACAAGAGCTGCAAATAACCTATTTTCGTTCTAAAAGGAAACATGATTTATACGACATCCTATGGAAAAATATTTTTGTCCAAGATAACAGCAAGAGAATTTTCAATAAATAAGAGTCGCAAATTAGCAGAAAATCAACAACAATCTATACATTTCTAGCCCCTCATTTGGCACTTCAAACTTATTTTTATATTAGTCAAACAATTATAATTCGATTAGCTGTAAATTCGGACACTTCAATTGCTTCAAAAAAAGTATCAATATAGTCGATGAAAATTATCACAATATTTCGAAATTTGTAATTAAACAAATGCCTCTGTATTGCTAAATTTCCTGCACGCAAAATGATAAACTTCGAGACTGCCTAAGAAAACGTCGTGATCAAGCAGTTAGAACAAATGGCCAAAACAGCTATCTCTGATTAAACTGAAGAATCGTTATTCCCTAAACTGTAACAGAAAGAAAAGTTAAACTTTTTCAATTTCCTTCCAGGCATTCATATTCTCGATGTTATGCTCCAACGTCATTTTCAGATTTAATGATCTGAAAATGACGTTGGAGCATAACATCGAGAATATGAATGCCTGGAAGGAAATTGAAATCTGAAATTTATTATCTGAAATTTCTGAATCTGAAATTTATTATGAATATATTTGAGAAAATTTAATCTCAAATATATTCATAATAAACATGACGAACCTTGAGTGTTCATAAAATAATGTTTCCAAAGACGACGCAACTTCGGCACACCACCAACATCCCACATTGTGAGCTTAAAATTCTTATATTGTATAGTTTCCACATTAAATCCAACTGTTGTTGTCAACTGTCTACACTCATCGCTCTGAAAAAAGGAAAAAAGTTTAGTCCCCGTGAAATGAAATCCAGTTATGATGCCAGTCTTAAAGGAAACAACAAAAACGTTTGATAAAGGAACACACATCTCATTTAAATTGACAACTTTTACCTTTAGTTTATAAAGTATCGTTGTTTTTCCAGCTCCATCCAAACCAAGAATAACCAAACGAATGTCAACATTTGAACCCATATGAATTCGATTATCAGCTGTAAATGAAAACGGGATTCTCGTATCCAACGAAAGACCACCTTAAATGGAAATAATCAGAAAAGGAAATTTAAAACTGTTCTTGAATTTGCATGTAAACTGGCATGTAAACTGTAAACTGAGCATGTAAGCATGTAGCATGTAAACTGGAACTAAGCTTAATCCAAAAAAGAAAAAATCTTTAAAAAATTGAAAAAAAATCGCAACTTTAAAAAAATTTAAAAAAAATCGCAACTCATAACTCACTATGGCGAAATTCAAAAAAAAAAAAAAACAAAATAAATAAATAAAAACAGATAAGCCATTTTGTAAACAACCCACTATTCAGGTTACCGATGATTGAATATGCAGACGAATATCTGTTTTTGATGCTTACTTGGGGCGGAAGCAATATCACTTTGATGGGTACGTACAGCATCGAGCATTTTGATAAGATCAGTTTGTTGCTCAATAAGTCGAGCATCGTCCATTTCGGAGCTTTCTTGTAGTTGTGCTGATACCGCTGTAACCTAAACGGAATTTTTTTTTATTTCTTTTTTTTTTTAAACCATTCAAAAAAACGGTAGTAGTGCCAAAGATGAACGAAACTTTATTGTAATACTCTGTTACTATTTCAATCATTTTATATAACAAACTCAACTGGTATGATTTAAATACAATGAATAAGTGAGTCTTCACCGAACAGCACAAAAGAATCTAAACTGAACCAAAAAAAGAACAACCTGTAATTACACTTGATCAACACAACTCTTTTGAATCATCCACACTTTTCGTCCCTTTGTTCTCTGCTTCATGCATTCCCCAACCGAATAAACAAACCTGCGAAGTAATAAAAGCTAGCTCCTGCTGATGCTGCCGAAGAGCTTCAATTCGATCGGCAACATGCGCATCCAATCGTACCATAGCCGTCTGCTCCTGAAGTTCAAGCTCTTCACGCAGTCGCCGGAAATGAGCTTCAACTTGTCGTCGCGCGGTCGTATGAGACCCTTCATTCATGTCCATTATCTCAGCAACAGTCCTGCAGGATAGTGATCAGCAATATTCAACGCTCAATACAATGCTTTTAGCATTACCGAGATGTAATCACATACCCAGCAGAACCAAGTCATCACCGTTTAATACTTATTCCAACCTTTCCTAAGTTATTTAGAGCCATCGTTTTAAAAGTCACCGAACTATTTATAGATCAAGCTCAAAGACAACGTTCATCTGATGATAACTGTAATATAGGCACAATATTTAATTTCTGAAAAGAAAAAAGGTGGGTAGATGGAACTTACTGCGTCACTCGGATATTCCATCCATTGAGATCATTAATAAAACTTCGGAAATCTGAAAGAGCTTCACGAACCCGTTCTCTTAATCCAGCAGCTTCAACTTCAAGAAGAGAATGTCGATGATTCCGATGACGTCCATAATCACGACATAGTAAACACATCAGACGGTTGTTTTCGAGACATTCCACTTCCTGGAAATTCCGCCGTTTACAAAGGGTGACGTTAATTACATGCAGTTGTTTTAAGCCCGTTGTAAACACATGCATGCACATGAGTAAATATATATTTAATTTATAAAAAGATATCAAGCTACTTCATGTGGAAGTTCCATAATGGTTGCTACTGCTATTTTATAAACGGCAGTAAATTTTTGATAATGAACTTGTTCATGATATGCATACACTTTTTAATAATGCTCATATGTTATCAAGTCGATAGATGCATACATTTGTTTTTCTCTGCAATTAATCATGGAAAAACAGAAATAACCTGACATACGAATTCGATCGCATATGCTGAATGGTAAGGACACATCGTTCGGGAAAGTGGTTTTTCGCTTACGGGTACACGGCAATGTTTTGAAAGTACCCGTCCTGTATGCGTTCTTCTCGAACATTCACCACACATATTACTTTCGCAAACTATACAATAGAATATAGCAGTATGTTTCGGGTCCTCATCACATGGTATGCCGAGTAAGATATCTTTCATATATTCTGGTGGTGGTACTTCATCTGCCTAAATAGTTTATCATGCCAAACCTGACTCTTACGCCAATATGTAAGTGAACTGGGAGCAAAAGCACTTCAAAAAGTACTTCATTTTCTGCAAAAAAAACAATTTTCTACACACTGCAATACGCCAAATCTGAAAATGTACAATTCCTTAGCTAATAAAATCAAATTTTCAAAATATAACATATTTTTGGTAACAAATTTAATTCCCAATTTTCAAAATATAACATATTTTTGGTAACAAATTTAATCTAACGGACTGATGATATACTAAAAACTTACAAGTAATGGTGAAATCCGCTCCGGTTGCGTGAATTTCTTATGTCGTTCAATTATTTCAATAAGCGCAAAATTTTTTTTCAACGAAAGCACACATGGTTCAGCAAGCAATGTAACTGTTCGATCAAACGGGCAAACAACTTGGGCAATGGGTGCACTGACATCTACTAAGGCTGAACAGCATGTGTGACAAACCTAAAATACTTAATCCAAAATCAAAAAGCAAAAACTTAAAAACGATCACCATGAAAAGTGATAAAAATAACGCAATACTAGCAAAATACACCAAAAAAAAGGTACCTCAAGTGAGCCCTTAACTGCAGTGAAAATATTAACCTTAGCTTATTGTGTTGTAAACATAATTATGTAAATCATCAACAAAGGTTAAAATATTATCATTTAAGTAAACTGTTATTCACCATAAATACATCGATAGCTTATGTAAAACTTATTACAACCTTAGCTTATGTAAACTGTCGTAAAACCATACTTCGATGTTATCGTTTCATTGTATAAACTATATCCAAAATATTCGATGAGTGAAAGTCAATAATATCGCAGATTAACTATGTAGACGCCTACTGATCAATTTGCATTCTCCAACAAATCATAACAGAAAAAATATTTTCTTTGTCAAATTTGAACATGCTTTAAGTCGTAAGTATATTTGAAATTTCAAATTCAAATCAGTACCGTATGACCACATCCATGCAGTACACGTGGAGTCCGAATTTCTGATGAATAACTTTCGTGACATAGAGCACACTCCAATCCTGCATCTGAGATACTACTCATTTTTCATAGAGAATTACGAAACAAGAGTGACTTTGGATCATTGAGCCATAGTTGTCAGAAAAATCAAGGATGGACTGAAACAGTTTTCAAATTTCAAAACCAGAAAATTTCCGAAAAAATTAATATGTTACTCAGAAAAACCAGGTACAATTTTCTCTGCAACTTTTAATCATCATTAAAATCTCCACGATTTCTACGTGCCGTTCACCATCAAATCACGACCTCATATGGAAGCTCAATCATTTAACTGTGAACAATGATGAAAATCCGAATTAGCGGTTTAAAATACAAGGAATTATACCTTGCTAGCATATGCGTTTAATAGACCAAACAATAGAACAAAAACTTGCTATTTTATTTCTACTTTGATATTTTTGAAAAATACCATTGCAAATTGATAGACAATGACTTTCTCTTTCCAATTCAAAATATGCCAAAAACAATTCCTTATATAAAAGTTTCTTATCATAATTCTTTAAACAATTACTGAAATACCTTATTCAATTTAACAATTCCTTACCTTTATAAAAGATTTTTATCTGTTCAGATTAATTAATCATTAACGGCCTAACTGACAGAAAAACAATGGAATGGTCAAACAGCGGGTCATATGGTGTGTCAGCGAATGTGCCTAGTATTTGACGAGCAATTTCGTCATCAGAGATACAAATAACAGCAGAAATTTGAACAGTTAGAAATACCCATTTTTCTCGACAAGAAATGAAAAATAAAAAAAAAAACAAAATCTCTCTATTCCACTAAGATAGCTGATAGACAAAAAAAGGAACTACCAATGGAACTGAAAATCCACAAGAACAAAATCATGAAGTTTAAATTATCGCAATCTCAAGGAGAAAATCAATAACAAAACAATATCACAAACATGCAATCAACTTCTTATAATATCATCTAATATCACCAAAGCTTCCAATAATATTAACACAAACTGCCCAACAAATGTATATCAGTCATCCCTAAACATACTTCTAAATCGATGTTCTAAAATCTTTTCATGAAGTATTCGCTTCCTATAGTCTCTCATCTCCTTTTCTCTTGTCGTAGGCCTTGATTTCACCGCATTTATATCTTTAGCCTAAAAATTTACATTAATGACGAAAGAATGAGAAAAGAAAACTGCTCATATGACAGATTAACAAAAGACAAACTTTAGTATTTACCAATGGTAACTGTCTCACCTCAGAATAATTTTACAACCTCAGTCTTTTCAAGAAATTGTATATATATGGAATTCATCTCGCTTATAGCTATAAATAATGAAATACTCCTCAATTCAAAAGAGAACTTTGAAAAAACAGAAGTGGAACCAGAAGATGTATGTACCTTGAAATGAGTCACTTTAGGTGTATCAGAGGTAACACAGCCTAAGCCAAGCTTATCTCTCTTCAGTACTGTTTTTATCGGATATCGCCTACCGGTAGCATCACGACCTAATCCTTCAAATTCATCCCAGCCACTTCTCCGTAGAATACGATAACCTTTATTCCACTCTGGAATTCCATAGCCTGGATCAAGCACCGGTTTACGGGTTTCCAAAAGGTGCGCTACACTGCTTAGGTGAGCCTCGCCTACATAAGTACATTGACAGGCATCACAAAACCGCATAATTTCCAAAAGCTTTCTGGATCCTTTGACCTTTCGCAGAGATGGGTCACACAGCATCCTGAATTTCCAAAGCAGTAAAAAAATACGTATTGAGAAATTAAGAGTCCGCATATGATAATTCAGAACAATGGAATGCACAATTTCATTTCTTCAGCACCATTTTTCGCAAAATGCACAATTTCATTTCTTCAACAGCAACCCTATCACTACGAGTACTCGCTATCCATTGTAGCGAATACCAGAAAATATTACCGATTAAGCGGTTTCAAGGGACACTTGAAAGAACTGTGCTAAAATACTACAAAAAATTTAATAACGTAACCGATATTATTCATATAAGATAATGACTAAGTTAAGAAACCCATACTTATTCGAACAAAAAATAGCATAAAAACACACTTGGATTCTCCTTTTTCATGCGAAGTAATATATCGGTATATTTCATGATGTCCACATTTCAATGCAAAGTCGGCAGCTGTTTCACCTGATTTGCTCCTAAATTATATCCATATGTTGCAAAATTTTATAGAAATTTATAATTCACTTCAGAAAAGTTGTTCTGTTAAGAACACGAAATTCCGACATGTAATAGTTTTCTCGAATAAAAAAACTGAAAATATAAAAAATGCTTTTTTTCATCCTTATATAGGAAAATGCTTTTTTTCATCCTTATATAGGAAACTCACTGTTGAAAGTTTAATCATTCAACGCAGAATCAGTTTATCTATAACGTTACATGCCACATTATGTGATTGCTAATTTTAATGTTAAGATTAGTGAACCATAACATGACTAATAGTAAATAAGCATAATCGCTCGTTGACTGGAGGTATAAATTACTTCTATCAGATCTTGTCCGAACCGAAATGACTTGACGGTAACTGTGGTATATAAACTGCACTGGATGATTCGACACTTTGTTATGCTGAATGAACCAATTTGGACGACTGCACATATTTCATACGATATCAGTTTACTCTGAATGACTAGACAATCTTATGGAAATAAAAAGTATTGATATACTAACCGCTTTGAAATATCCACTCCCATCGACAGCAAATATTTAACAACAAGTAAATGACCAGCATAACTTGCACACATTAATGCAGTCCAACCGTATTGATCCGATACATTGAGATCCATTCCTGCAGCTTTCATGTCATATCACTTTTCATTGCTGAATCTTTAAGCATATTTCTATGAATTTCGATAGCCGGAAGGAAGGAATCCACAGTTCTTCTTTCTTTTTTTCTACTACAAAGAAATCAGGAAAAGAAATATTTGTAACTACTGGAAACAAATCATCTCAAAAGTTGTGGATTACTTTAGTAATTCCTTTAATTAGAAGCACAATACTATTGTAACAAACATACCTGTCTTACGGCAACAATCCATGACACCTCGTACATTTCCATTTGTGGCATCTTTGAAAAGTTGCTCGAAGTTTTCCTTAATATCACCTTGTTTTTTCGAGATGTCATCTGATAGCTTCATGGACTTCCGAGGCTGTTTGTTGCTATTCTTGATCTTTCCCAACTGCATCTTCATCGAGGTATCCGGAACTATTGAAGTAGAAGGTTCAGCTAGCAATGCTTCGTAAAAAGATCGTACCTCCTTACCACAAATGGTTGACCTCGTAGAGCTTTCCGTAACGAAAGATTGTACAGTAGTAACTGGATTCGCTTTAATGAACCGGATCTTTTTACATTTTCCAATAGCACCGGCATTTCCTAGCGGATTCATACCCAAAAAATCCTGTGAAAAAGTTTGAAATTAGGAACAAAAGAATTACCAGCACAATGAAGCGAGTTACGTGCGCAATTTTTGAGAACAGGTGATCCTATTCTCTGATTTTCTTAACCAGTTTACGTTAAAAAAAAAAAAGAAAACTGGAATGAAAGAAAAGTATGGGGCTAAGAATGCTTTTGTACGAGAAATATATTAACGGAAAATATCAAGAGATAATACCCAGCATTTATCAGGCGACCAAATACCAAACAAAGTCATTAATTAATAAACAACGAAAATTGTAGATTATATAAACAAAGTGAAAGAAAGTTCTCAAATTACGCAATGGCAACAGTAAAAAGTTAAAACTTTCTTAAATCTGAAAGAAGTTATTATATATGACGAAGGAATGAAATCAATATCAACTCAGTGAAAAATTTCCAACCTAAAATGGAATAAATACTGAACGACAAAACAAAATATGATCAGGTCGAATTATTATACCAATAATTTATTTGATCCTTCATTGTTGTTTTAGATACCATTACTGGCGCTAATATTATTCATAACTCATAACAAGAACAGGACGGTGGTTGAATGCAAATTCATGCCTACATTTCTTTTCGTGCGTTCCGCTATTCACCACAATGCTGTGCTGATTAGAAATTTAAATTGTTAAGTTGATTAAAAAGGAAGTATGTGGTGCTAGAAATGAACAAGTGAATTGCACTGATACTGAGATGTATGCTTTAATGCTCCAGTATGTTCCATTAAACCGCACTAAACTGTTTCACTTTAGATTTTAGAAGATCTAATATAGCTAAATACGGCTGTCTGTTGAAATACGATAGAATCAACATGGATAATCAAGAATATGGATAATGAATTCAGCGTTATAATTCCTACCATATTTCCTGAGTAAGTATCTACTATTGAGAAAGCAATTTTTTCCAACTTTGTCCAGCAATTTTAGTTAAATACATATTTTTGTATTCAAAAATACTTTTTTTTTGTATCTAAAAATACTGGCATATTTCGCAACTGCGAGGCGTATATATAGATACGGAACATTTTGAAACAGCCCTCTCCGTTTTAATGTTAACTGGAACTGTTGACCTTGTAGCAAAAGTTGTAAATGCCAGACATGATTCACCTGAATCTAACTGTTTTCCATAAATGTAGTAGCCTAGAAAAGATATGATTATTAAAATGAAGTGGAAGGAAGTGTTCATAAGCTGGTGTTGCTTAGCATGCGAAAAAGTAGCAACATTCAACGTTTTTCCATCAGTAATATTAAAGTAGAGAGAAAGTTTAGTTGGGGAAAAAAACCGGATTTTTGATTTTCAACATCGTATATTGAAATAAGTGTTGGTAGAAACAAAAGATTTTATTACCAAGCATCTTGAGAAAGCATTTCTTCTGCAGATTTAATTAAGGCACGATTAATTCAGCAGAAACAAACCAAGACTAATTAAAATCAAAGACACCCTTTAACAGCTAATACCTGGTATTTCAAATCGATAAATAACGCTATTCAAAACGGTTAGCCCATCATGAAAACGAAAATCTCTGCAGGAAAAGTCCTTGCTTCGAAAGTTTGACATTCAGGACATTCAGGTACCATCCAATGTATTTATTGGAAAAATCATGAGAAGTGCCCAGGGGAAAAAAAAAACTTCGATATGCATTAGAAATTCGAACAAATTAATTTCCATACATATCCAGTCATCCGGAAAATTCTTTCAATATTTGTTAAACGGATCTTTTTCCTGTCGTATTTCCTTCTGCGTATATGTTCCACTTTGTTTAATCTTTCCAGTGTCATCAATTCCGAACAATCCTTAGGTTTATCTTTTTTTTTTCATTGTAATTTAACAATGTTTAGATTTTTATCGTTTTACAATGATAAAAAGTAAAATTGTTATTTTCGTTGAATGACAAAAAATTGTCATTTTTTGCCAAATTCCAGCCATTTTTTGTATTCAAAATTCTTCAAAGAATCGTATAATTAAGTTTTATTATTAGTAATAATCAATAATTTTATCTTTTACATTGATGAAGCAGTATATGATATGTGTTAGATTTTTAGATATTTGCGGTATTCATCCGATCAGGATTTATTATATCGTTATTGTTTCGGATTGAAGATGTGTTTGTTGTTGATTTCCAGATTTCTTAATTCCTCACATACTTTCCTCTTAATTAATTAATCGAAAGTTAGAATTAAACTAACTCATTAATTTCCTATCATTTTTGCAGTATTTGCATACTGGAAAAAAACTGATATTACTTGACTGCAACATTGTCAATCTAATGTTTCCCAAAAATGCAAAACAAAAAAAAAAAAAAATTATAAGAAATGAAGGGTTAATTAGCTTAATTTCCCAAATTTCGATTGTTCAGTTGAGAGAAAGGTACGTGATGTCATGAAAGTTGCATTATGTCGGAGTTTTGTTGGTTGGCATTTACGAATGGTTATGCAAAAGGCTTATAGATTTAGGAATATATATAGTCCATTTGGAGGTAATAAATAAATATTAGCAAATAATACAAATAGGAGTTTGTGGAAGGATTTCAACGAATAATAAAATCGGAGCCGATTATTTGGTTAGTTTGAAAGTCCTAGTAGATATATTTAGAGGAAATTTAGGGTGTGCTGATAGTCGAAAATTGGTCGATATAAAAGTGAACCTTACAACTGATTGACTGTCCCGTTTATATAGTAGAAGTGATTTATTAACCACTGAATATAAAGTTAGTTAAGGAAGAACAGTAAGAATTTGCATATGAATTGGTTAACGAAATCATAAGACATTAGCTATTGAATATAAGCATGGTTATTAGATTAGAGGATATTTACAAAATTCCCATCACTGTTCATATAAGTTAGGTTGTTAGATCAGATGTTTATTAATATATTGAAAATTGCAAATAGGTTGATTATTAGACCGGATGTGCTTTACAACAGTGTTATAGGAATTGGATGAATATTTTATTACTTAAGACATTGAGAACATTTATTTCTATTTTTTTTTTTTTTTTTTTTACATAATGAATCATTTATGTACAAAACATTGTAATAAGATAATCATTATGTTATAGTTTTTTTGATGAGTTTACTTTATAAATTATTCACAAAAATATTTTAGCTAAAATATCTTAGATATATTACTTCGGTTTTTCCTGGCATGTATAATTTTAATAATAATTTTTAATTTGTGAAGAATGTTGCAATTATTGATGGGAAGAATTAGCGTAACAATTATGAATTCATTTTTAACGTTTTAAATTTTACAAAATATATATTTTTAAATATTTCAAAGATACCTTTCCACATTATCGAAAACATACAAATTGAAAAATATTATTAAAATTACAAATAAATTAAAAATTATTATAAAAATTCTCGTAAATTATTATAAAAATTATTATAAATCCATATTTAACTTACAAAGTATGTTTTAAATATTTCAAAGATATCTCCATATAATTGAAAAAATTATGAAAATTATATAATAAAAATTAAAAAAAATATAAAATTAAAAAAAATATAAAATATAAAATTAAAAAAAACACAAACCGAAAATTAAAGTTATTAGACATATGAATGAAAATTAAATTATTTAAATTATTATGTTTGCCTTTTTTCTGTACACTAATTGCATTAAAGTAAGAGTTATTTTTTGAATCAATTTGACAGGTTCATGGGAAGCATTTGAAATGCTTGATTTCATGACGTACAAAAATTCAGTGCAAACTAATTAACACCATATAGGTATGCATTCGGATAACATTTAATTAAACGTTAAGCGAAAAACAACTGTCCTGTGATGTTTAGTATTGAATTATGTAAAATAGTCTTCATATAAATTTTGATTAGTCAAAAATAAGGGTATGCTTAATATGATTAATAAAAAACTTATCTCAGAGAGAATGATCAATGATCGCTGACTATATTAATTTATTGTTTTATATGAGAATTTCATATATATAGAATTTCACTTTTTTTATACGGAATTTTATATGTCAAAAGCCTAATTATTAAATAGATTAAAACAAATGGTTAAATGGTTGTCATGGTTAAGTCAATTTTTAATTCAGTCATGTTCCGCAAACGATGTTGTTTAGAATTGGTGGAAATGCTAAACTGTATTTTTGAATAATTTGGATGTGTGGCGTGGTCAATTATCATCCGTATGTATCGAACGAAGTAAAGTAGTAATTGTTGATTGATGTGAAGTTAGCTTTTGATAAATTTGAAAAAAAAAAAACAAAAAATCAGAAAAAATACACGAAGAAGTGTAGATCAATGGTTGTTAAGAATACTTCAAGCAGTTTCACCAAATCATTAGCATTACGAATTTTTTTCTCCAATTTAGGCAAAGTATACGATAAACAAAATTCATTTTACATTTTTACTAAACGGTTTGTTTTGGAAATTTTGAAATAACTGTGAGAAACCTGATATCATTTTTGTGCATCATTTCAGGTCATGCGGTGAAATGGCCGTGTTGGTACTGGCCCTACCATGTGTATGCATTTTTCTACTATCTCTTTTAACTGGTTTCATTGGCAGTACTGCGCTTATTGTAGCTACTATTCAGAGCAAGTACATCATTGATTGATTGATTAATTGATTGCTCATGATTATTCTTTGATCACTGATTATCATTTGATCAATAATAGATTTATCGTGGGTGATTGCACTTCCCTCAGTTTTTTGAAATAAAAAGAGGATAAAGCGGCTATGAGTTACCCCAACAATTTTATCCATAAAATCAGAAAAATCGAAATGAAGAATTCAGAAGTTCAGAGAACGGTTTAGAGGACAAAAGGAGGAAAGATAGGGATGGGAAAAGAAAACTCCATTAATGTGCGTGTATAAGTAATCTTACGAAGGTTGCGATCAAGATTTACATTTTGCGTAGCAGATTTCTGCAACCTTTATCATTCTCAGTTTCAAGTTCAAAAATTTCGAACCTAAACTTCAAAATAATTGTCGAATTCTTATAATTCATGAGGATTCCAGGCGTCTGCATAATTTCAACAATATACTCATAGCTCTGAACGCATTTGGTGACATTCTTCATCAGATCGGCCATATTCCATTTGCATACTTTATCTTCACCGGAATTACTTTTACACCTTTACGGACATGCATTTGGATACAGTTAATACCCAATTTTGGCCAAAATTTTGCAATGGCTATATTATTTCCTATCGGCATAGATCGAACCATCGCGATTTTGAAGCCTGTTGGGTAAGAATTTCGATGGGACAAGTAACTTCAGTCTTTTTACCGGTGGAAAAAAATTTTTTCTTTTCTTCTTCTGAAACCAAATATATTCCTGATAAGAACTGTAGTGATTACTTATAGATATCGAAAAATGAAGAAGGGATTTTATATCCCAGCAATGATCCTACCTGCTTTACTTTATTCAGTCGCTATACTCATATTGGTTTTTATATGTGACGGAAATAGCGAGTAAGTTAAATTCTCGACGCATAATAAATGGCCACTAGAATTTATGGAGTAATGTTCAAATGCCTGAGCATGCAACACTTTTTACTGAGAAGATCAATCAACAAATTCGCAATTGACTTCCGGCCGAAAATTTTTTGCTTTGTTTGCTTTTGAATGATGGACACAAATTTATTTACTTTGTTAAAAGAAATACAGAGTGATGGAGCGATATTTGATGTAGAATGACCTTGAATAAAGCTTTGTTATTAAAAGGGAAAAAAGACAAAAATATCAAAATTCGAGATGAACAACAAATAGTTTAAAAAGAAACATATGAGATGTTTGATATCTGAAATGTATTTCCAAATATTCCAAGGTGGAATTGTACAAAAAGCTCTCCATTTATAATCTTATTCCCTTAATTACCGTTTGTATCTTTTCATTGCAGTATCGAAGTAATTTGTGTTGTGGTTGCAATATATAGTGGCTTGTCAGACTCGGTTTGGAGCATTTCATCAGCTGTTATTAATTTAGCAACAATTATACTTTATGCAATACTGAGCCGAGTTATGGTGAAAACTAAAACAAGTGAGCTATTTAAATATTTGACAAAGTAAAACAATCACCCTGAAAGATATTTGGTCTATCTCTCCATCATCGAATGGCGTATTTATGTTATCGGACTATCCTTTGCTTTGTTCCTTCGTTATTC